CAACTTATAACAGTATGTCTATGGCCATCTGTAAAACTTAACTAGTGCTTATGGCAAATGGTCCTACATAAATTGCACTTCTGTACAACCACAGGGATAACACGTAATTTCAATGCAGAATAGTGTAGATGTTCTGTGTTCCAAGCACTCATAATTTATGTGATCAGAATGGTTTCCCTGTATTCAAATTAGAGCAGAAAGAAAGGGTTTGGCTTGCAATAAAGTACTATTGCCACCATAAAATCACAGTCTACTGCTAGCTGCCAGATCTAAATAATAGTGGTTCAAATGCTGTATTATATATAAATTACAGCAGTATCAAGCTGTCGGTTTACACTCTTGTCAAGAGCAGTTATTGCAAGGCTCACGGAATTGGTGCCTAACTAATATAATTTATCTTCTAAAATATTTATCTAACTTTAACTCCTTCACAGAAAGACTACTGTGTATCTTTACCCATACTCCTTTTTAAACGTTCACAACACAAAGTATCCTGAAGCCTCTAGGCTGTCTCAGGAAATACATGACCTGCAATATCCTGATCAATTTTCTTCCAGTTATGATTTCCCCTCCACTCTGTGCTGTATTCTTTCATTTATCCTGGTGGATGGAGCCTTCCTTGCAGAATTGCAGGGGGAACTGGCAGGGATCCAGGACAACCTGTCGGCACAAGCAGCAGTGAGGTGATGAGTCAGCAGAGGCACTGTGTGTCTTTGCGCTTTGCTGCCGCACTGCTCACTCACAACCCTCCCGGACACAAGTCTTGGCTTTGACCTTGAAAAATCTCCACAGCTCCTGCTCATCCTTATGAGGGAGGATGTGTCCATCAGTGAACCTGAAAATGTGGAGCTGCCCTACAGAAGCTAATAATCCAAGGAAGAGAGGCTCTGTGTGATTTGAGGATTATGTCAGGCTTAACCTGAGAACAAGGCTGGCAATTTTGCAACGCAATTCATTAACGAGTCATATAAACTGCAGGGTTAAAGCTATTTTAAAATTGCATAATTTCACTGCATCTGTGCCACACTGCATTCAGCACATTCCCAACATGATAGATAGCTGCACACAGAAAATTCCAGCAGATGCTATATACACTGTGATTATATACAGTAAGACAAAATTATCTAGGTTTCAGAAATAAGATATTCACACTGAAAGGACACCAATGTGGCCAGTCATGTATTCAGGTATTTGTCTTCATTCTTCACACTGCTTTTTTAATAAGAAGAATTTAAATGGCTCCCTCTTGTGTCAAGAAAAATGCAGTATCAAGTTTGGCAAAAACTAGCTCTTGAGCAGTAATTACAATTTATCTATCTTTATACTGTAGAGTCTAGTTATCAGTATGGCATGTGACTGAGGAGACTGAACACAGGTATCCCTTGCTGCTCAGGTGCTCTTTGAAACTACCTGAAAGAAATACCATAAACAGTTACCTTTCAGCTGCATATGATGGTTAGGAAAAATAGTTTGTGAACCGTATGCATTGCATCTCATCTAATTTGCTAATAAGGTCTAGACTAGATAGAGATCTTGTATTGGAGATCCTTGTCCTTAAAGATCTGTAACATCTCAGCACAGAATATGTGGTTTAGCGTAGCTTAATTTATTTCTAGTGTTTTTCACAGGTGAGCAAATCTTCATCTTGTAAGGGGTAGAAAGAAAGCAAAGAACTGATGGAAAGCTCTGAGCATGCAAGAGTCAGTGAATGGCAGTGAGGAAGCAAAAAATCTGATTTCAGCAACCCTGCAAAAATTCTTTCCTTCTTTCTAGTACCTACTTGCTGATAAAGTTTTTGTTCTGGCTTTTGAATCACTAAAGCCTTCTTCACAATAATTAATACCCATAAAACTGAAATACAGAACTGAGTTTTTTTTTCCTCTGCATAGTACAGGGCATACTTTGCTAACTTTGGGTATTAAGTAATAATCTTGGAATAAACATAGAAGAGGAAAAACCTCAAGAGGCAAATAAAATGTGTGTGTGTGTGTACACAGGAAATATCTATAATACCTTTTGAGAAAGCAAGTCTGAAAAGGTTTGTTTCAAGGAAAAATACTTCAGTTCTGTGGTTTCCCAAAAAATCTCTTCCTGCATAGTTATGACTTAACAAAACCAAAACAACCTAAACAAAAATCAACTAGGCCCACTTCAGAGTGGGACTAATCATACTGATGACTGGAGAGGTTGATAAAGCTACTGTGCCGACAATTATCTTGAGATAATCTCAGTTTATCCTGATTCAGAAGTCTGGTGATACACACATAGGAGGCTATGTTTTCTAGCTTGAAGGGGAGGCTTTAAAATACCGTATTCTGAATTCTGCTGTAGTCCTTTATCCTTTGTAAAAAGTCTTTCCTGTTACAGCCTTACAGGTTGGTAACAGAATGAATGAAAATATGACTTCCAAGATCAAATTATATATGTTTTTCAAATCTAGGACTTTGTATCCTCTTCCAAATAATTTCTTCTTACTTTGCATACAGAGAGACTTACAACTTGTTCACAGAGAGGAAAAAATTATTATGGTGCACAGAACAATCATTCAGTATCTTACAGTTTCTTGTTTAAGGGTCTCTATAGTGGCACCCCATAATCTATTTCCATACTTCAGAGAAGAATTGATGAGAGTAGACTTAACTGAAGAGAAACTGAAAGTGTTTATTGAATCTAAAGTGTGTACTTAGGTGCAAAACTGCTGTTTGGAAAAGACCTCATTAGCTGCCACCTGGGACTAGATACATCTAAACTGAAAAATACTCTATTTATCCAGCCATGCAAAGTTACTTTTCCAAACACAACTAACATCATGATCTTAATGGAACTGAGCTACCTGCCTCATACTCCAAACCTGACAGGACAGGATGAGGTAACTGGGCATTTCATTACTTTTTTTTTTTTTAGGCATTCATTCCAAAATTGTTTGGAAGGTACTTATAAAAAGATTGAGTTGCACTATATATGTACACACATAAAAGTTATTTTAAAAATCACATTTTTTTCTTAAATATGGTCAAACACTGATACGGTTGATTAATAATCTAGTGGCTGGGGTACCTGCCTGGAACAAGATTCTCAGATGAAGAGCACTTCATATCCTTCTCCCTGAGTTATGTGCTTTTTTTCTCTCCTGGGTTAATTCCAAACTGTGGACTGTTCTTGAAGAGAGGTGCTCTTGGGAGTCTTTAATAGCTTGTGTGGAGAAAAGAATAAAAAAAAATAGATTGATCAATAAAGTTAATGAGCTGTATTTTCAGTGCTAAGATCACCCCAAGTTAGGCTTTAGACACCTAGCACCAACATTAAGTCAGTGTAGGTGTATATTTCTAGTCAGTTTGCACTATTTCCAGTTTAAGTGTGCCTTGTGAGGTATTGGTGTATCTAAAATGGAGCCACTACAAATTTATTTGATGCTTACATCTGTTTCAATGCTATAATGCAAAATATTGTAAGAGGCAAAAGTCAATCTCTTTAGAGGTGGAAAACTTTGAAAAGCCATTGTTTTCTTCTTAACACAAAATAAAGGTAGATGCTTTCATGCTGACCTTATTTGTTTTTCCTTTGGGTGATATTTCCTCTAGCCTCCACTATGGCTAAGGTTTTATATACTAGAAATTGAGTGAGACTAATATTAGAAAGCATTTCCCAAAGAAACCTCAGGCCAGTACTCTTGACACCTTTCAGAAAGAAAATTAGGTTTGTGGCTTCTTAGTAAGCTTTTGTGCCTCATTTCGGCTTAACCTCAGGCAATGAAATGCAGATCTTTAAACAAGGTTTGGACGTGCAATGTGATACTTCTTCCTTGTGTATGCAGGATTTTGGTAAGCAAACAACGGGTATGCTGATTTAAACAATTTTTTTTCCATCTGAGAGAAGAGACTGATGCAGACTTTGTTCTGCATCTGCATCATAGCAAATGTCACTATTTTATGTACAGGCAGTACCATCATCAGTAAGGACCATGTGTCCTGTGACTTGTGTCTAACTCTTAGAAGCGAATACTCTAGCCTGACTTAACATCATTGAGCTTTTGTGTGAGTCATACAGCTGTCAGATGGTTGAAATGCACTGCAGCTTATTCCTAGACCTAAGCTTACAATATATACCACAGCAAATATTTACAGCCTTAACGGACTGCAGGATAAAAAAAAATCTCGCGGTATTTATTTATGCCATACATAAATATCTTTCTGGTAGGCACTGTGAGTTCACCTGTTCCTGTAGCTTAACTACATAATGTTTCTTTAAATAAACACACTGCGATCTCGCTCACTGAAACAAAAAAGTGAAGGTTTGTACATAAACAACTTCTCCCTTCTGCCTCCTGTGCCGCTGGCTTTCCAGGCCCTCCCCTAAGCAAAGCGCTTGAGCGGTGTAAGCGGATGTTGCATAATGTGATTATGGGCTGCTCCAAACCGAGGAACGTGTCCCACTTGCGGCATGTTACACACGGCTGCCTCTGTTCTTTCGTTGAACAGAAGCTGTGATGCTGCTTTTATATTCCTGGCAGCTGTCAATTGCTAAAGCAGAAGATTAGGGAAATGGGGCTTTTTTTCTTTTTTTTTGGTACTGAAAACCTGTATTGCTCCCTCCCTCTTATGCCTTCAGCTCTGAAGGAGATGATTATTTCCTCTGTCTGATCCCAAAACACCACTGTAACTCACATTACAGTAATTTGCGCGTATATGTAAGCAGGATTTTAAAAAATTCAGCCTCGAAAGCGTATGTACGCGGCGTATCTACCGCGGAGGGAACATGGCGGTGACGTCCCGACTCGTCTCCAGCACCAGCCGCATTCGCCATCAGGGGTGAACTACGCTCCCTCTCGCTCCTCATCGCCGCCCCCTGGGTGGCCGCTGTGGCGGGGGCGCCACAGCCGGGGCTGCCGGCGGCCCTGGCCCTTCAGACCCCCTCACATTCCCGGCCCCTCAGAGCCCCTCGCGGCGGGGCTGCGCAGGCGCGGCGCGCGCTGTGTCGCGGCGGGCGCGCGGGATGCGAGCGGCGGGAGCGCATGGCAGGTGGCGGGAAGCGGAGGCCGCGCGGCGCGGCGGGACCGGCCGGAGAGCAGGTGGGGCGGGGGGCGGCGGGGCAGCCGCCTCCAAGGGCCGCGGGCCTGCATCGGCGCGGGTGCCTCGTGGCGCGTGTCGGTCTTCTGTCTCCTTGCCACTCGTGCTGTTTTGCTCCGTGGTTTTGTGGGGGGAGTCACAGGGCCCCGCGTTCCCCTGCACGGCAGCCGCTGCTCCAGGCGGGCGCCTAGCGGGGACCGCCGGGCTGTAGGTGCGCTGGGCCCAGCGGCCGCAGCATCATCCCGGCGGGACTGCGCTGGGAACGGGACACGCGCCGTGACCCGGCTTGTCTGGCGGCGGCCCTGCTTCAGAGATGAAGTATCCGCCGCATTGCCCTCTCTTAAGAACAAGAAAGAAACCTTAGGGATTCCTACCAAATCATGGAGCCTTATGTGGGAATGGGGTGGTTGAGGCTACAGCCCCAGTAGTGTGCCCGTATGGATAATTTCCTAGCCTGCTTCAGTTCACGTTACATCATTTTTAAAAGCAACTTCACCTTTAAAATGCTTATAAAATGCTGCACTGAAAACTGCAATAATCGTGATGTTGGATAGCACAGTAGCTAAAACAGTAGAGACCAGAGGATTTTCGCTGTATTATTTAATTTGAGGTGACAAAATACAATTCCTACTTTCAGCTGTCTGTAAAACACATAAACATGCTGTATGCAGTCTGCAGTGTGATTGGAAATGGTCATTTTAAAACAGTGCAGAATTAGATTGAACTTTAAAATTGCTTGCTCCTTTGCTTAATTAACTAACAAAAGTGCTTCTGTTGATTATATTGACCCATTAATATCAAAGTAGCAGTTTGCTACTTCAGACGTTTTTAGTACATTTGTCAGACTGAACTTTTAATGGGTTCTGTCCAAAACAGATGTTCTAGGCTGTATGTATGCTGCTCTAACTAACAATCATCCCCTAATGGATCTAATCCTTGTTCTTCCATTAATATAAAAGCTTGGTAGAATCCTTTGGAAGAGTCGACAGAAAGCAACTAAATTAACTGTTTTGGGTTTTTTTGTGTGGTTTTGTTTTGTTTTTTTTAATCTACAGAGTGAAAAAAATGGAGCTGTCAAGAAGAGGAGATCAAATCAGGCAGATATTCCTGATAGTCTGTGCCAAGAAGCAGAAACATGCTATCGGCTTAGACTGCCTGAGGACTTCTACCAGTTTTGGAAGTTTTGTGAGGAACTAGATCCTGAGAAACCAAGTGGTAAGGTTTTAAATTTTGCCTCTTCTAACTTTCATTCCCAAAAGCAGCCTGAAGGCAGGCAAACTGGAGGTGGTCAGATGCATTTTAATGAAGCTTCAGTTTTTCAGTTGAGGTGGAGGATGTTTACATGAATGTAAACTAAAACACTGGCTATGATCACCAGGATGTACACTTCAGGCTTTCTATAATGTAACTACTGAAGTTGTGCAACGTAAAAGGGACTAAATGTGGTCTAAATCTGCCTTTCTTGCAGATGCATTGAAAATGTTTTGTAAGGAACTTAAGTTTCCTTATGTATCATGGTTTAATCCCAGTCAGCAGCTGAGCACTACACAGGCACTTGCTCACTCCCCCGTGGTGAGACAGGAGAATCAAAAGGGTGAAAGTGAGGAAACGTGTGGTTTGAGCTGAAGACAATTTAATAGGGAAAGCAAAAGCCAAAAGCAAAGCAAAACAAGGCATTAATTCACCACCTCCCATGTGCAGGCAGGTGTTCAGCCATCTCCAAGAAAGCAGGTCTTTGTCATGCTGAGCCATATGCTATGGAATATCCCTTTGGTCAGTTGGTATCAGCTGTCCCAGCTGCATCCCTGCTTAGCTTCTTGTGCACCTACAGCCTCCTTGCTGGTGGAATGAGGTTGAAAAGACTTTCTTAGTGTAAGCACTACTAAATCTGGATTTCAACCTCTTCAAGTTTGTTATATAACAGAATGTGTCATCTCTGTGTGCTCTAGAAATGACAGTATCTTTCAGTCATAGAATGATTTGGGTTGGAAGGGACCTTTAAAGGTGATCTAGTTGAACTCCCTAGAGTGAGCAGGGACATCTTCAACAGAGCCAGGTTGCTTAGAGTTGAGTCCAACCCAGCCTTAAATGTTTCTAGGTTATCCACCATACCTCTGGGCAGCCTATTCCGGTGTTTTACCCCCTGCATCGTAATGCGTTTTTTTCTTACATTTAGTCTGAATCTACCCTGTTTTAGTTAAAACCCATCACCACTTGTCTGCTTGCTACAGGTCCTGCTAAAATCTTTGTCCTTACCTTCGATACCTAAAGTGCTGATAGGCTGCAGTGATTAGCAGCCTAATCAAGAGTGATAGCTCTTGATTGTAAGCTATGTGGAAAAACCAATGTCTTAGCTTTCCTTGGCTAGTGAATAGTGTTTGACTGAATTTATGGAAACTTTTGATACCTGAGCAACACTGGAACTTCCCGATCTAGACATGCACCTGATTCATGGTTTTCTTTTTAGATGCACTTGTGTCAAGTGTTGGACTTAAGCTGGTTGGACCATATGATATTCTTGCTGGAAAACACAAAAAAGCAAAATCAACAGATGTGAACTTCAATCTTCATTGGAGATTCTTCTATGATCCCCCAGAATTTCAGACTATACTTGTTGGGGATAGCAGAACACAGTATCACATGGGATATTTCAGGTATTTTATTTCCTGCGTGCTCTTACTCCACTACAACTATGCATGGCTTTTTTCCTCTTTTTCCGTGAAACATAACTTGTGCACCGTGAGCAAACAAGAATCTTTCCTTTTTGTACTAGGATATTGAAACATGGCTTTATCTTTTTATTAAAAGAGATTGCAGGACCTGGAGCTGAAGACAAGATTTAAATATTTATTAATCTACCTCTTCCAGCCGTCCAGAGCACCTTCGCTCACTAATCTTTAACTTTTGCCATGGTACTGGGAAGAAAATCAAATTACCAGAAGGGAATATGTGTTCGCTCTGGATGTGTGGATGCAAGCTCTTTTCAAGGCTTGCTGTAAGATATTAGAGCTTTAGATCTAAGGGTATTTCTTGATAGTTTCTGAAGGAGATGACAGCATGGTGAGGAGGCAAATTTAGTTTTACTTTGAAATAGGAGAAATGGACACAGCTTGACTATTTTGTGTGTACTTTTTCATCAATAGGGATGTGCCAGATGAGCTCCCAGTGTGGGTTGGTGCAAATGAAGTTAAGAAGGGTTGTGTGATTTCACAAGTTGGTGATAATGTCTTTGCTGCAGTCAAGTAAGGTTCATATTTACTTTTATTTATAAAGAACAGAATAGAGAGAAATTGTTAATAGGGATGTGGAATAATGCAGCTAACTTATTTTATGTCTTTCTTAAGAAACCCTCACTTATTTTCTGCCCTGCTGGCAAGTTTTAAGACTCTCACAAAAGCCTTTGTGTAGGCATTTTGATGGTGTTTACCATTCAGAACTAAAATAGATAAGTGTTAATTATGTCATTCCTTAAAAATACTGGCAGTGACAGGCTCTAAATTGGAAAAAAATATCCACTGGGTATGTTAAAATAATTTTGTAAGTAGAGAAAGGGCATCTCAAACAGCGAAGGAAACCTGAGTATCATAGTAGATGAATAGCATCTGGCTCTTGTTCTTGCCTACATAAAAATACATTATTTTTGTATATAATATCTACAGGAAGTACCATTTCTGCCCTGTGGCAGGATAACACTGACGTGGATGTGTAGTTCAGTCTGATTCATGGAGCTTTACATGTTCCAGTGTCAGGAATGTAAACAACTGATCTCATCCCTGCCAGTTAAAAATGGAAAGCTCTCTAAGGACAGACACGTGTCAGTCAGTGAAAGTAGACTGAAGAATGGTTTCTGCAAAAGAACCCTTGCGCAGTGCAGAGTTAAACAAGGACATGTGTTTCGAAAGCTTCCACGGGGAAGCTCATAAATATGTATTTGTGTGCATGATTTGGATGACAAATGGTGTATATGGCATGGACACAGCAACTGAATCCTTAAGATAGAAAGATGAGCAGTTACTGAGGCTGAGAGAACCTTCAGCACCTGCAGATTGCATAAACTAGACTGTAATGCAGGTACAGATAAGAAAAGCCCAAGTACTAGCTGTGCCAAACTATTTTCTTTCCTCTTCTTAAGAAGCTTACATTTCCCAGTCTCTGTAAAAATATATGCAAGACTGCTAATCTTTGTTGTTAAGGTCTAGAAATTTAATGTTTAAAATGCTATTATTTTTTTTTCTTGACATATTCCATCTGTTTGCAGATTATTTTTGTCAAAGAAACTTAAGGAAGTGGCTGATAAAAAGAAAAGTGCTGTTTTGAAAGACATAGATGAAAAGCTAACAAGAACAGCAAAGGAACTGGGTTATTCTCTGGAACAAAAAACCCTGAAGATGAAACAGAGAGATAAGAAAGTATGACTTTCCTCATCTACTGTGAAGAACTAAGTTCTGTTAAAATTTTTTTCATTTCTTCCTGTTTGTGTTTTTTTTCATCCTTCTAGTAAGTAAGGATGCTTCATTAGGAATTTCCAGAGGTAATCAGCTCTCTATAAAACTTGAAGAGAGGGAAGATTACTACATGTGTGTTCCAAATAATAGGATTTAATAAAAATACTTTACTCTTGTAAATCATAACTTGGCATTCAGTTAAAAACAAAACAAAAAGAACAAGCCACCATAAAAAAAACAACCCAGTAAGCACAATAGTCTAAAAAGTGAAACAAATAGAGGGCATGGAGAAAACTGCTTTAAATGTAAGATTGTTCTAAATAGTTGAGTTGGACCTGTTAGAAACGGGATGCTAAGGATGATAATAACAGGTTTTTGCATACCTCTCAAAAATAATTACAGTAGGAGGAGACTAAACAAATGCAAAACAAACTTGTGCAATGCAGCACAAATGACTACAAGGCTTCCTAGATTTCAGAATTTGACTGGAAGTGGATTTTCCAGTTATTTCAAACTTCAATACTTGAAATTAACTGCAGTATAATTTGGAACTAAGTTGATGTCCTACAGCTGGGACACCATATTAGGTTTGACCACCAGCAGTCAGGTGTTAGTGTTTAATGAGATGAGTTATTTTTTGGTCACAGTAGTGTCTTACGGTGCTGTGTTCCATTTTCTGTCTCTTTATTCAGGTGGTGACCAAAGCATTTCATGGAGCAGGCCTAGTCGTTCCTGTAGACAAAAATGATGTTGGATACAGAGAACTTCCTGAAACAAATGGTAAGTATCTTGTTTACTATTCTGCTTTTTGAAGTAAATAACCCTCAGTAAAAACCAAACTGCATTCATATATTCTCCTTTAAAAATTTGAGTGGTGGGAGTAAAACATAGAAGTCTTAACTTGACCTCAAAGTACTGTCTTTAAAGGAACCAGATGAGATTTAATGAAACATGCGAAAACTGAGAAAAGAATGCCTCAAGTAGTAGTTCAGATGACCTTTCCTTTTGTATTGTCAAAGCCATGCAGGAAGTAGATCCAAAAAGCTGATCTGCATCCTGGGATGTGTGGGTTTATTTCTTATCCACCCTCTTCTCCCAATATCATTTTAACCAGATTCAGTTCCTTGATGCAATTTTATCACACAAATGCTTGTCTGCCTTTGTGAGGAACTGAGAGGGATTTGCGTGGGGCAAGAAGAAGCTTCCAAGGAAAGGGGGAAGCTTCACCAGCAGTTCAGGGTGTGCCCACTTACCTTACATGTAAGCATGACACATGGGGTATAGTTTTGCCACAGAATACTCTGTGCAATATTAAATTTATTTATACATCTAAATATCTGATTTTGGGGGTTTTTTTTGCAGCTAATCTTAAAAAAATTTGCAAGGTCATTGTTGATGCTCCGACTGATGAGGAGAGGGTGAAAGCCTTTGCACCCATTCAAGAAATGCTGACCTTTGTTCAGTTTGCTAATGATGAATGTGACTATGGAATGGGGTACGAGCTGGGCATGGACCTGTTTTGCTATGGATCACATGTGAGTACTACAGCAATCATACTTCACAAAATTATGCATTATTTTATACGTGGGCTAGAAGTTGTTCTGCTGTAAATTCACTGTCCCTAGGAATCGTAGAAGTCTACAATAATATTCTTAATTCATGAAGACTGTTAGAAAGTCACACAACATGATTCCACGTTGTATTTAAAACTGTGTGTATGAAAGCCCAGTCCCACAATCCAGAAGTGGAGTGTAAAATGCCTGATCCAGATGCACCGAATAGCTGGAGTCCCCTGTCTCCAGCTGCTTGTGTAGGCACCCATGTTCAACCAGATGAAGAAACAGCCTGATGTTTTGTAGTAACCCCAGGTGGAAGAACATGAACCCAAGTCAGCTGCCTGGCTGTACTCCATAGGGCACCTCCCACCTGGAGTTTCTTCCCTAGTTCTCTGCTAATAGTGAATATCATCCATAAGGGGATTTAATGGCACTTAATACACATTAAAATTATACTTAATGCTTTTTGTTCTGTATTGGATACTGGCCTGTTGATGGAAAAGGGTCATGGCTGTAATTAGTCCATGGCTAAAAATAGCACATGAAGTTTCAGCATCAACCTAATAGGAATGGATTGTCATAGAAACACTCCCGCAAAACACCTGCTCTAGCAAAACTAGTAGTGGCTAAGTGGTGCTTCAGAGTATCATGGGAAAGATAAGCTTTTCAATATTAAATGTTGGTTCAAAGGAGCTGTGCTAAGCACTGGTTAAAATATTTAGCCGTTGAAATGTATGAATACTGACTGCTCTTGCCATACACTGTTACATTATCAATGTGTTTCTTAGATTTCATGCCCTTCTCTTTTAAATTCCATACAGCATCTGAAAATGTGTGGTATATTCCTTTGATATCCTGTTCGTTTGGAACCCCTCTTTCAGAGACTAGGCTGCTTCAGCTGCTTAAATCCTTTCTGCAACTGGAAGGGCAGTAAAGAAACAGTTCTTCCCATTTTTGAGTAGGTGGAGGCAAATACTCATCTTCCACTCTTTGCGCCTCTCTGCACATGAGAGTAACTACTTAAAAAGTCCTGCAGTGAAAAATCGTGTTTACAGTATGGTCATGTATCTGTTTTATGCTGCAGCTTGAAACTCCTGTAACTGCTTTTTTCTAGAATTAGAAACCTATTTTCTAGAATTAGAAACATTCATCTTGTAAAAGAAACAGTGGTTTCACACATAAGTTTTGCTCAGTTAGGTCCTTGCCTGTCTTAGAGCTCCAACTTGGAGCTGTTTTCCAGTTCTGACTGGAGCTTTCCTGTCCCTTTTCTTACAGAGCCAGAGAAACACTGACACTGGCCAAGACGTAGAAAAGAACTTGAATCTTCTCTCCTTGGAGAGATACAGTGGACTTACATGTACAATAATGATTGCAAATTCGAAATATGCTCTGATGTTTATACATTTAAAGTGCTTAAATAGTTACTCTTAAGTACCCTCAAACTGTGGGTTGGGGTGGGATGAGACATGGGACTGTGACAGGATAGGGGACTTGACCTGCAGGCTTCCTCTTTCGGTGCTGTGGTGAGTGGAGCCATCATCTCTTGCACTGCTAACACTCGATTTCTCTCTCACTGCGGCAGCTCGGGCACCCCTGTGTGCCCTTGCTGTGGCTGTCACAGGTGTAGCATGCGGATGTGCTTAGACATTTTGGGAGGGCTTGAAGGGCGCAGTGTGAATGGGGCGGAGCCAGGAGGTGGGGCTGCTCCTGGAATTAACAAAGCCACTGAGGCCGAGGGCGGCTCTTGTTTTCCCTTCTCTCCTACAGTACTTCCACAAGACGGTGGGCCAGCTGCTGCCCCTGGCTTACACCCTGCTGAAGAGGAACCTCTTTGCCGAAATCATCGAGCAGCACCTGGGCAACCGGCGGGAGGAGGACCCAGATCAGCTGGTGCCCTGAGCCGGGCTCAGGGGCTGCAGCTGGGGGGGGCCCTGCACGCCTGGGAGCGGGCTCGTCTTTGTGTGTGTGTGTGTCTGTGCGTCTTTTTGTACTCGGTGGCGGTGTCCCCTGCGGTCAGTAAAGGTTTTCTAAGGAACACGCTGCTTCCCGGTGCTGGCTGCAGGTGGGCCCGGGACAGGGAGTGGGGCTGAGGCGCTGCGGGGCTGTGGCACTGCCCGGGAGGCACACCTGGGCCGGGGCTGGTGCTCTCAGGAAGCATGGTGAGGGCGGGCCCCTGTGCCTCGGTCACCACCTGCCTGTGCCATGGGCAAACGGAGCCACATGTCCCTGCTGCAGGTGATGGTTCTGCCCTTCTTCGTTTCCCTGGTTGGCTCCCACCCCTCAGGTAAAGCATTCCCTTACTGCAGCATTCCCCTGTGGCAGAGCACTGTCCCTGCTCCTACATTGCTGGAGCTGGCTCAAGTGGGAGGAAGGAAACTAATGCGATGAAAGAAATGCTAACTGATATTACAAGACAAATTAGGGAATTCCACTGCTTGTTGCTACCTTGCTAATCAGAAAAAGCCAGCTCCAGTTTTAAACATTGAAAAATTAAACCCAGGTGATTTTGTACAAGGTGCAAATTGTTTTCAAGGTCCTTACCCCCAGTTCTGTGTTCTTGTTATTGCACTTGAAGGTTTATTCTCAGGCAATTAATTAAAGTAACAGTCCAGAAGCAATGGAAAGTAACAATGGCTCTTACTCAACAGCCCTGCCACCATCCAGTGACTTGACTTCCACTGTAGCAATTCACATCAGTACTAACGACAGCAATGCTAATTATTACTGGTAAAGATTATAGACTACTAGTACCATGTTCAAATATAAGTCATTCCTACTCTTTTAAGCAAAGGATTGTCAGTTAAATGTTACTTTATGGTTTACTTTATGGTAAAGGGAGCATTGAAGGTACAATGTAGGTTAGAGTGCTGCGAAAGTGAGTTTCAAATGCGTAAGGTAATCACATGCCACACCTACTTGTGTAAATTTGACTTCACCCCTTTCATTCACCCTTTCACTCATTAAACTCATGGAATTAATGTTCCAATTATTCAAGCACAAACATACACTCATTCATAAGCCCAGAGTTTTGTTTTATACATGTTAAAAAAAAAAAAAAAGTACTTTCCATCTCATTCTCGTCTTTATGTTTCAAGTACAGGAGACCTTTATACTAATGCCCTGTAAATCATACAAGTACTAAAAAAGTAGAATCATAGAAAGTTTGCACTGCAGGGGACCTTAAGAATTCAGCTTTTTAACTGTTACTTTAATATGAACTTAGATCTGCAAAAATGAGGACCTGAGACTGGCCATCCATACTTGTGTATTAATTAATCCCTGATGGAGAAGGAAATCTGTTACAGTAGCTGCAAAATGACTGATGTGTGCTGTGTATCATGAAATGGGGACAGACTTTAGCAGGGCCTGTTGCACTAGGACAATGAGTAATGGTTTTTAACTAAAAAGAGTAGATTCAGACTAGCTAGGGGGAAGATATTTTTTATTATGAGTGGTGAAATACTCAAATGGATTGCCTGGAGGGGAGATACCATTCCTTGAAGCGTTCAGTGGATTGGACCCTGGGCAGCCTGATCTAGTGGAAGGTTTTCTTGCCCATGACAGGAGGGTTGGAACAAGGTGATCTTTAAGGTCCCTTCCAACCCAGGCCATTCTATGATGTGTACATCATCAACAGATGGCTTTTAGACAATAAAAGGATCATCCACTTTTAACTATATTAAATACAAGTATTTTGTTTTAATTCTATAATTAAATCAAAATCTTAGGTGAGGTATTTTTCTAAAATAAACATTTAAGGCAGATTGGTTTGATGGGGTTGATTTTGGCTATGCATTTGTAACCGGATACCAGGCAGTGCAAATACTGTATCTCCTAAACTCCATTCTTTTTGTCAAATCTTCTTACTAGTTTTGTATGTAAAATTCCTATATGTTAATTTTCTCTCAGGGAAAAGAAATGCAAAAATCAACACAAATCTTGTTTGTGAAAACAATGAGAAAACATGACAGAACAGTAAATGGTCATACAGAAGTTTTTAATGCTTGATTAAATCATCACAGTAATGAGAATTTTTACTGTAATGATATGCAGTTCTACCACACTATTATAAATAAAAACATTAAGATCAATATTAAATACAGCTCTAGGCAACATCACAGATTAACAAAGAATGCATTCTTCATGAGCCAGTATCTGAATGATTTAAAAAATAAAAAAAATGCTGACACTTTCCCATCCCATCCACCACCTTTTTTTTTTTCTTTTTAAATTAGTAGCTTGAGTAAGGCGCTGCAAGTTTCATGTTAGAAATTTTTTGTTGCACAGCACAGGCACACATACTTCATTAACAGAACCTCTACTGTATGTTTACCAGAAGACATTTTAAATGTCAACAGGGAAAGCTTAGCAGGTTAAGAAGGGTAAACAGATGCACAATTTATGTGCAGCACTCGGGATCCACACAGAAATGAAACACAGCAGGAGTGTAAACTGTATTTTAATTCAGACAGCAGTCTCTAGAATTAGAGTGCAAGTTAATACAGTACACACATCAGTGTTTTACAATAACATCAGACATGGCAGAGATTTCAAACTGATCTAAACTGATTTTTGTATGTGTAGTGAGTTTGTATTCTTCCACTGTAGAAAAAAAAAACAGAAATCAGTGTCACAGACAATTTCCAGAGCTGCCTTCTGTCAATGGGCCAAATCCTGCTCTTTTTGAAGTTTCCTCTTCTTCAGGCTTATGTAATGTTACAGAGCAAAATTTTAACAAGTAGCGCTGACTTCACATGGAAGAGTACAGCTGGTTGTTGCCATACTCCCATTTTTACATAGCCCAATTCCCTGTTTCATTTCCAAACCTGTTTTTAACACAGGGCCTGATCATTGTGATTCCCCTGGCACATTTCACTTTGTACTGGTTCCAGTTGCTGCTAGAGGCGAGATGATAAAATGTAGATGGCAGTTTTTCTACTAGGAAAAATCAGTTAAAATTTAACAGTGCACTTACTTAAGCACAGCCATATTTGTGCAGCTCACCAAAAGTGCCAGAATTTTGGTTCATTGTGTTATTGTACTTAAGAAAAAATCATACTGAGTACTTTGTGAATAAAGATGTTTGAGGTAACTGTGATGAATGCCTTAGAGATATTGAAGGTTATTATGTTAGACTTTTAGTGTTTATATTCTTGCCATTTTTGCAGTCTTGTGAGCATAATTGTTAAAAGAGAGAAATTTTATCCAACCTCATATTACAAAACAGGATTTCTGTCAGCCAGGTTTCTTAATTTTTTTCCCTCCCTAATTTAGGCTTATAGCATATTGTAATTTTTTCTCTGCATGCAGTTCTGGTGATGGTGTGATAAAATGAATAGGAAACAAAACAATGTACTGTAAAGAAGTTAGGGGTCTGTCAGTTCACCTCCAAGTGTGTGTGTGTTGCTGCTGAATTTTAAAGTCCTGCCAAAGTTTCAAGTACTGGGTTCAATTCTGCCCTGCTGCTCAGGTGTGACTACATATAATTTACACCTTTATAAGCTTGGGAGAAAAGGAGAGTCAAAAGCAATCTAATAGCTGCTTTCTCCTTTTAAAACTTTAGTTTTAAAACCCTGCAGGTTTGTTTTTTTAATAAAATCCTAATATTACTGTTCCAGTTATCTGCTAGTAAAGAAAAAAGGAAATCCAAGGTAACGGCAGTGAAAGTTACATTTGAAAATGAGCTTTGTATGTATGTTGGATCGTAAAGAAGCCATTTTCTTGAAACCCTTCATCTAGTTGTAAACATTTGCTAATCCTCCACTACTTGCAGAGGATTATGAATTATTCTATAAAATCACATTAAAAAGGTAATTAGTTATGTGAGATATTAACTGATTCATATTTAATAGATTTTTTAAATCCATACAAATATAAATAAAGAATGGTAAAACTTCAAGAAAAATAATATACATTTAGTGCAAATTATGAGTTACATTTCTTCCTCCCATGTCAGCAGAGGAACATCTTTTGTGGAGAAGAAAAAATAAAAATGACCATTCTCAAATTTTACAGGGGGAAAAAAATTCTCCAGTGTTGAAGCATGCATTTTTTTACCAGATACACGTATACAGAATTGTTCCAGCTCTTAAACTAGTAGAATAGCAGTATTTTTCCCTATACTGCACAACATTGGTATATATCATAGTGTGTTTGATAATACAAAAATTGCATAAGACCAGGTCACATTTTTGATATTTCCTGCAGCAAAACCAGTATTTTTCTTTTAAATACTGGTTTCATCTGGTTTTAGTTTTCTCATACCATGACAGCACAGGGATTGAAAGAAGTCTCACATGGTTCTCGCAGAGTATTACCTGTTCAATCTGGTTTTGTTGCAGTGGATCTGCACTGCCACAAGCATTTTGTGATGTACAAACTTACACATTTAATGGCACAAGAAAAACCTCCCTTCTTGTGGTCACACCTCAGTAACTCACAATACATCTCAATATGAGAAACAACTGCTTCAAAAGGGCACACCAATTTTAAAGTGACTTTGTTACGGCTCAGGAGAGAGAGAAATAAAGCTCTTCTGGAATGTAGAAAGGTGACGAGTAATAGTTAATACGTTTCATGAGTTAACACAACAGTTCTCAATGGTAAAAAGGGCAAGACCTGTCAGTCTCCACAAGATGGCTCAATTCAGAATGATCCCTCCAGAAACAGGGATTAATAACACATCTCTTCAATGCTGAAGTACCAGGCTGGGCTGGAGAATGGCACCACTTTGCACAGCTTACCTACTGCACTATCATGGCAGACCTGATGTCTCGGGACGCATCCAGTGCAGGACAGCAGCTCTCCCTTCCCACACTCCCATCAGCCTTCCTCCTCGCCACACACTCCCTCAGACTGACTCCTGATTGCCAGCAGCACTGCTATGTAAAAACCCAGCTCGTCTCTGATTTTAGAAGTTTCCCCCAGACTAAAGTGTTGTGCTATTCAACAAATGAACCTCCTCTTCCGTTTCCTCTCTCTCCTCAGCTATGGGTTTCAGTTGAACATTATGGAGGCGGGGTCTTGGTTTGCCGTCTGGGCCATATGACGGAGGATATCTTTTTTTGTTATAATGCCAAGGAGGCGCCTGAAAAGGATAAATGGAAGATTGATATTAATCCAAGCAGGAAAATAATGAAGTGGAACAAATCTGTAGCCAAGTCCTTTTTGTTGACAGGAATAGAGCAAAAGTAAACAGCCTGATTTTCTTATTTAAACAAGAAACATTTTATTTATCAAAATGTTGAGGAACCACCAGTTTGATAAAACACAGCAATGCTGAGACACCGTATCAGATGGTCTCTGACCGCTGTAGTCCATTTTAATGAAATACAAGTCATACAAGTGGAGCCCATTACAATTTTTATTTAACTTTTTGTTTCTACAAAAATCAAATTTTGATTAGCATATGCCAACAAAAAAGTAACAAAGAGGGACAAAGAAAAGAGAGATATGAAAGAGAAGTGATAGTGATCCCATTTCATAAGGGAGGCATGTTCCAACCTAGCTCTCAGAAGTGATCTACCGCTTGATGGCCCCATACCAAGCAAATCAAACTCCCCTCCTTTTTTAAACCAGAAGGATCCTTCCAGTCTGACACACTGGCTGGGATTGAATATATTCATAGGAGCACTCTGTACTGGCCATGAAAGTTTTGTATGACAGACAACAATTAATTAGTTTCTGGAGTTCATGGCTTTAGAAAAAAATAAACCGTGAATAATAAAATCTTCAATTTTCAATTTAGATACTGTGCTCTTATGACAGGGTCTTTTAAAACTAACTGCGAAACATCAAATAGAGTGAGACTGTCCAAAAGGATAATATCACAAGAGAAGCAAAGAGCAGAATGAATGAGCTGCTGCCCTTGTTATTCTGGTTAGTACATTTCAATTTGTCTTATTAAAGGACGCATGAAATACTTGTGAAATATTAGCATAAAATGAGAACATAATTAGCATGTTTTGCACATAAGCAGCTAAACATGTTGGGTATGTTTAATAGACATGGAACTAGCAACCCATGTCCAAATTAAGACAAAGTGTACCATCTATCTAAGGGGTTAGTTCACAACATCATGGTTAAGACCATATCTAGATTCTGAAGTCAACAGTCAACATAGTGGCAGGCCACTTGGTGGCTGGTATCACTGCACGTTTTGTAAAGAAGTACACTGGCTGCTGTAGGTAACAGCGACAGAATCACAGACTTCACATAAAATCACAGGACTTCGCTAAAAATAATATTTTTTAAAAATCATGTTGATAAAGGGGGGATTACAGGGAAGATCTAATGGTGCAAATAAAACATGCTTATCTTTGCTTCTCAAAAGATGTGATACTTCGCTATTTAACAGCTATTTAAAGCTGTCCAAATAAGAAAAATAAATTGGCATATACAAAAATCGTAATATGCATGAGGCAGGGAAAAAGTATTCCTAGCTGCCTACCTTCCCACCTGGGGAATTCAAGAGATCAACCAGCTGGATTGATGTGATCTCAACAACACAAGTATCAGAAAGTTTACTGTTTACTTTCCTTTAATGTTGTGACTAACAGTATGTTCACATTTACAGCTTCATTTCTACAAAAGGATTTTGCGTATGTTGTTTTACGTTTAATACAAATTTTGAGCATAAGAAGATTTCATTGTTCAGCCGATGTCGTAAAAGCCCTGAACAGTTCACAAGTTTCATGCTTCCTGACTTCTAATGTGTCTAATTATGAGATCTGATATATCTAATCACCAAGGGTTCGACGTGCTGCTTTAGTTGCTCGAGATGCTCTAATATGTTCTTCTTTGTGATGATCCCCAAGACAATCCTGCAACAGATTATGTTATGCTAATAACTGTGTGTGAAATCAAATTAAAAAAAAAGTTC